CACATATAGTGATAGTAGCTTTTATACCGCTTTTGCCACTCCTCAGCCCTCCTCTTTCTGTATTAATTTTGTTTTTGTTGTACTGGCGGAAAGGAATAAAATAAAAAATAAAAGTAAATAAAATATATATATATATATACATATATATACATTATTATTATTATTATTTTTTACATATATATATATACATATATATACATATACATATATATACATATATATAATATAAATCATCAAAGGTACATATACATTGTTTAATAAGGACATGATGGAACATCGTAGGCTATTGGCACAGTTGGGAAAGTCCCACACCATTTTTCTAATGGGTCCACATTTTAAAAATTGGTCCAAATTATGTAATTTTATGCATAAAATGGATCCAGATTTCTCATATTTAGCTAAAAATGGGTAAAATTTAAGAATATGGGTCCAGATATTTCATATTTTTGCGTAAAATGGGTCCAGTCCACATTGTTTAAATTTACACGTAATGTGGGTCCACCCTGATATTGTCCCACACCGTTTGAAAATCCTGGCTATGGCATTGATCCTCATCCATCATTGTAACCCTCATCACCATTCTCAACAATCATCGTTATCATCATTACCATCACCACAACCTATTAATCATCCTCATCCATCATCATCCTTATCCTCATCATCATCAACCTCATCCTTATCCTCCTTATCATCATCACTCATTCATCATTCATCATCATAGTCCTCATTATCATCATCATCCATCATCATCCTTGTCCTCATCATCATCAACACATCATCATCATCATCCTTATTAATCATCATTATCAATTATCATCCTCATCATGAGAATGATGATGAAGAGGAGAACGACAAGAATGAAAATGAGAATGAGGGGCAGATTTGATGTTTCTCATTCTTCATCATTAACCTCATCAACATCATTCTTATCAATTATCCTCATCATTATCACGATCATCCTCATCAATCATAATCATCATCATCCTTATCTTCATTATCATCAAACTCATCATCCTAATTGTCCTTATTATCATCATTATCCTCACCATCCTTATCAGCATCATTTTCTTCCTCATCATCCATCATCAATCATCATCTACCTCATCATCTTCCTTCTCATCAACTGCATCATCCTCATCCTCCTCATCATCATTCTTATCTTCATCACCATAATCATAATCATCATTACCATCACCCTCATTATTATCGTCCTCCTCATCATCTTCCTGATTACTGTAATCAGCATCAACATTACCATCATCATTTTCATCATTATCCTCTTCATCATCAGTCACCATCATCATCACGAGGATGACGATGAGGAGGATGGTGAGAATGAAGATGAGGATGAGAGGGATGATTCTCATCATTCATCGTCATCATCATCCTCATCATTCTCATCAATCATTTTCTATCATTCTCATCACCATCATCACAGTCATTATCATCAATCATAATCACCATCATCTTTTTCCTCACCATCATCCTAATCATCTTTCTTCTCCTCCTCATGATCAACATCCTCCTTATAATGGGGATTATAATGAGGATGGGGATGACAATGAGGAAGATGATGATGATGATAATAATAATGACATCATTATAGTAAGAATAACAGTACTAACGCTAATATTAATGTGAATTATAAACTATAATTTTTTTTTAAACGCATAAGAATAATTATACAGAGTACTATATTAATAATATTATAAAGTAACAACATAATAGTATAATAATGATGATGAAGAAAAATGTAGTGTAGAAAGATTAAATTTAAATAGGTAAAAATTTCCTTTAATTTTGATTGTAGTAGTCTTGGAATTTGGTGTGTTGACGTCACCATTCCAAATTTGCTTGGGAGGTGGGGACTTCCCATCAGACAGGCATAGACTCCCATTGTCCGATGCCACGACGAGGTTGCCACACCACAAATAATGATTTGCTTATCCATAAAACATTAATTTGGTTGCCAATCCCTATATTTTTTAAAAGCAAAATTTTGGACCATACTAAGCTAAAAAAAAAAAAAAACTCTCCCATAAGCC